AACTTACCAGGCTGCGTTGGTAATGTAATAACCAGGAGGAAGGAAATTAATTAAATTCCTATAGTTGTGTGCTGCATCTTCTTTGAACATTCCTAAAACCGTGTTCCCTCGTTTTCTCTGCTGCCTCGTATATTCACATTTCGGATGACATGTTCTGGATGGAAAGTCATCTAGGATACAAAATTCCCAAGGCTGTGCCTTGAAATACAACCACCCCTCCCCCTCTACGGCTGGATCATATCTCAGAAGGCATTTTCGCAGGGAACGTGCCGTAGAAAGCACACGCCACTCAATTTGCTTAATGGAAAGAGCTTCGAGTAATTTACAATCCGCGACGCGAGACGGTAATTTACGTTTCGTAGCGCTCGCCTGCGTTTCATCGAGACCGCCCGCCGACGCTTTTTATAAAACAAGTGTCGCGTGTTTTATCGAATCGGAAGAATAAAGGTGGTTCCTGTAATTCTGTGGACCAATTAGGGTAAACCAACCAGTAATTGACTGCATACCAGTGAATGACCATTAGACAGAGAAATGTAAATTTAAAAATCATTAAATGTTTACAAATGGAGTGTAGATGTAGAAAGAAGGTTAAATGCAATTACAAAATTTTTGTGTGAAATTAATTTCGGGCAGTTGACAAATTTTCTCTCGAAAAAATAATAACGATTTTTAGCCAATCATTCATTAGATCTAATATTTTCGTCGATTTATGACTTGAAAAAACGAAATAGAGTGTATCTGCCTACACACGGCCATTTTTACCGTGGGAGTCAACGTGTTAATACCTTGGTCGCGATCCCGACTGGAATAAATTCAACGCAATCTCGAGCGTTCTCGCGATCGTATCCACAATGTGTATTTTCCGAACGGTACACGCCAGCACCATCGGTCTTAATTATAAAAAAAAAACGAGAATTTCCGGCGGAACGATCATTTTTAACCGTGCGGATTAATCCATGGTGACCACCAACGTGTTGCGTGAATTGAGCGAGAGTTACACAAATTCCGCGACAGTCATCGTGGGAGAAAAATCGTGGTGGAAATTCACGATGAGTGTCACGCGAGATGCAAATTCGCGAGATCCCGCTCGATCGGGGTCGTGTATCGTGATCAAACGTGACTCAGAAACGCAGAGAGGGTTGCTCGTTAATTTTAATGAATTATTGGGATCTCCAGCGAACGATATGTAATTTCCTTTTGATAATAGATGGAACAGGAAAAGAGCTGCAATTTTCGTTTCACCATTTTCTTCGCTGCATATGTATTTCACACGCGATGCAGACACGACAATAAATTTTCGAGACTAATTCTAATCCCATCAAAGTGGGGATGAATGTAAACAGTTACGTACTCCGTTACCTATATCCCGTAAACTATCAACCGTCTACTCCTATAAAAAAATAGGGACAACCGTGTTCACCTCGAGGAGTACCCTAAAAAAACTAGCAAAACCTGATTCAACGGTAAGGGCCACACACGCGGAAAGTGTCCCTCGTTAGTCCACGCTCCACCGAACGGAGGAAAACCACGGGCCGGAGGGTTCATCTCGTTCGACCCGGTTTTTCGTTACCTAACCGTGTATATGTATACATTCGTTTCTGCTCCAAGGATTCCCTTCTGAGCCTTGGTGTGTTGGTGCCTATACGTGCGCGTCCCAGGCCTCGAAACAAAGATAGCATCGGTCACGTTGCCGTGTACGCGACACGAGTGGACAACCATACCTGAAGTTAAACCGGCCGATCGTTTTAATCACGAAACAGTAGGACCGGTTGAGGACAAATAGGAAAGAGGACGAAATGCATCGAGGTTAACCGCGTCTGTACGACCGCCGGGCCTCGTCAGTGTCTGCCTGGCTGAGCTTGCATTAGCCCGCGCGGAGCTTCACGCTCGATGGACCGTGGTTTAACCGAGCTTTTCATCGACCCACCCATTCGACGTAGAGAGAGAGGTACCCTATCCCGAGTCACAGAGAGACACATACCTCCTATTTCTGACTGGGGCGGTCAAGTAACCGTCGCGTGGACACTCCTCGGATCTCCATTGTACTCCATTTTGATTTTTGAGCACGATATTCCAGTGTCCCACTTGGCCTACCTTGCCGATAGAATCAATATTCTGTGCCGTTTCACCGGTTGATATGGTTCCAGGCCTGAGATTCCAGAAGAGATACCAGTTTGTAGGTGTATTAGTTCAGAAAGATAAGGGATGTCTAGTCTGGACGGTAGTATCTAGACTTCAATACCTGTCAGATCCAAGATTCTATGATACAACAGCACTGAGTTTCATAGTCTCTTGCTTAGAATGCACAAAGTGTTCAAAATGTTCGTTTAAACATCGTGTGCGTCTCAGGTGCAGAACTCCAAGCTCCAACATCCACTGTAAATCCCTTTCCAGATAAGTTTCACTGAAACCAAGGGTGTCCTATCCTCCCATCGCAATATTCCTGGACATAAATTCCAAAAGAGATCTCTCGAACGCCGCGTATTATCCCCGCGGAAATAGATGCTCCGTTTAATAGATCCATTAGTCGGAGGCGTGGTGTCGCTTTTAAGAGATATCCTGGACCACAGCCAGAATTCGCTGATCCACGGACTCCCCCGCGTTCACCTAGAACCTAACCACGTATTTCGCAGAGACGCTCCAGCAACACCACTGATCATCAGGGGACGACGATAATTCACTTGATGTGGGGGGGGGGGATCCCAGACAAAACGGCCGTCCCGTGCATCATCGCCTCGCATATCATCGGTTCTCTCTGCTAAAGCATGAATTTCCTTGGACAGAAAATTCAGTCAGGCTGATGCATCGTCGCGATATTTACAAACAATAAACTTAACGCCTGCGCGTGCGGCCGGGCTTCGTAATTCGTTGTTTTCGCGCACTTTGCGTCACGATCTGCGTGGAAGGTATCTGAATGTGTGTGTCTGTGTGTATGCAGGGCTTCATAAATGATTTTCGTGTCCCATAGGCTCGCACGTTCTGCCATCCTCCCAGCGGCTGGGGTTCAATTATTGATCACGGATTATCCGCGGCGATCCCCGGCCAACCGGCGGCGATCCACCTGCGGTTTATTCCTGCCCCCCTCCCCTGCCCCCTGGACACACATTCTATCTATGGCCCCTCTCCACAACGGTTTTGCACCATCAAATTCCGTCATATGTATTGTAATCTCGATTGAGTATGTGGACCGATCTTCGTTGTTTCGGTCCGTTCGTCGCGAGAGAAGAAAAGATAAGTAAAACAATGGCCGGAACGGGGAGGCAAGAACCGACGACCTAATCTGCCATAATGCAGCCCCGACATGCAAATAGATATTTTTAACCTTGTCTCGAAGGCGATCGATAGCTGCGAAGGCGGCACGGAGCTCGTCTAAATAATTGCTCCTCCCACGACGTCAGACACACAGAACACGCTGTTCGTTTGTCGTCTTTCGCTTGGGGGAAGGGATCGGGGGAATAGCGTCAAAGGGTTGAGAATGTTTTTTCCATCCGTGTCGGGAGTGGATCCATTTTTCCGCCGAGCGTATCAAGGTCGACTGGGCTCGATGGACCCGATGGTTTTCACCCCATTCGCCTACGCGAGCTTTTTTCGTTTGAAGGAAACGAAGACTTCCTTTTGGGGGATCGGAAGCTTCCGGTACTATAATAAGTATTGGGTCGTCCAAAAAGTTTGTGGCTTTTCGAGTGTCTTTGTTACCTTTTCACCTGGCCGAAGGAAATGTGGTTAATCTAGCGAACAGATACTGCGTTACAGGTGTAAATTGAATGTACAGTAAATCTTCGATTAACGCTCGAAACTCGGCATCGCTTTGGAGCAGTTATCGTAGAGGGTTTCTGCACTTCATGAACTGCATTTTGGGATGAACTTCCTGTGCGGAACCCTTCAGTAGTGGGAATGAAGCAGAATGATATCTTCATCAACGACGGTGGATCGTGGTTACGATTAAGTAAGTTCAAAGTGATTGCATCCCTGTGCTTTAAAATAATTTTTATCAGAAGGAGAATGATTTTATTCTGCGCCACGTTTCGATCATCCCCCGTTCGAGAAGTCGCGAGCGTTAACGAATGGCCCTCTTCGCGTCGTTTAACTGAAAATGCATTATACCCGATACTTCGAAAATCTTGATCCTTTCAGTTATGCTAACACCGTCTAAGTAATTCTAATCCGTGAATCGATATCCGGGGGTTCTTACTATGAAACTTCCTCGGAAAGTTTAGCGGTGAGCTGTCTGTGTGTGGATCTTGGATACAGATGAGCTTTCGAGACTCCTAAATCCTGATCATCCCTTCTCGTGATTTTAAGGAAGCGTATTATGCTGGAAGTTTGCCAAGTTTAAATCATTATGCGGATCCCGTATCTTTATTCAGGCTATATGTAGATTAACAGTTGCTAAAACGGTGGACCTGCAGTGGCCTCTGGCAACAGTCGCAATAATAACTTTTACCTAAGATCGAATTGTAACGTTTTTGGGGACATTTCGTGCACATCTTACGAGACAGATATACAGGGTGAATCAATAGGAACTACTATTTAAAATAACGTTACCTATTTATTGTATCAGAAAATGTTTTAATGAATTATGCAGCATATTTAAGGGATGCATCGGGTGGAAACAATTTGATGTTTTCATATCTTATTTTTTTGAGATATCAAGGTGACCTCGAGTTTTTTCATGGTCAATGCATCATTTGTTAATACTATAAAATAAAGATGCTGAAGAATAGTAATAAAAAAAAAGATGCCTTGACGTTGAAAAAACTCAGTCACCTAGGCATCCAGAAAAAAATAAGATATAATGAACTCAACCTGTATCCATTCGACATGCCCCTTAAAATGCTACGTAATTCGTTGAAATGTTTTTTGATACAACTAATGGCTAATAAATTATTTTAGATAGTAGTTCGTGTTAACTCACCCTGTATCTATTACACGGTTAAAATGAACGCAAGTTTGGGGAAGTTTTTTCTGGTATTAATTCCGATGGAAATTTTTGTACTCACTTTGGAATATCGCCGATCTTCGGTGGCCGACATTTTCGCGGAGGAACGTCTCCCCATACGTTGTACGCTGGAAAATAATAGAAAAAAAGTAAAGTAAAGTCATTTGCAACGAATCGTTGGTATTGGTTAGAAGATTTCTCGCGAGTACGTACTCTCATCAGAGCTGTGATATTTTAGTGTAATCGTGTGTTGGTCGTCGAAGAATGGAAACACGTGTCTAGGAATTCGAATATCGGCGGATCTTTTATACTAATTGCCGGCATTACCCGTAAGTGTAGTTCAGTTCCCTTCCCGCTTACTTTCCTCGAACGTGTAACGGTTGTAATAGGATCGAGAAGCGTTGGCTGCTCTCAGCGTCTCGGACCTTTTAATCAATTATCTCCTTACGTGTGCGATAACGCAATAACAGAGGCTCCTTGTTCGTCTCTGCTGGATACGGAACGAAGAACGATGCAATTTTATCAGTGCTGTTGCCATACGATCTGACTATTTAACTAGGATATACCGCACCGTTTCTTCTATTTACGAAAAATCATCGGCACGACGGAACCGCTGTCTTCTCCTAGCAATATAATTATTTCATAATTAAATGTACCGTAAAACATCGAGGTTGGTAACTCAATATTTCGTCGACGAACCGAAAAATTCAGTTTCAAATAATTCGTTATTATAATATGATATAATATTCATTTATAAACGGGTTATGAACCCTTTGGTACAATATACAAGTAGAATAAACGCACAATTGAATGAGCACTTAAGAGATTTCCTAACTATTAAAATTAGATTTTTCAATATCTATGCCTTTTTTATGACGTATAACAATAACCATAACAGTAGCAAAAACAATAACAAAAACAATAATAATTTAGTTCTAGGTATTTCGTTATTATAGTAAATTTCCAAATTGCTTCGATGATCTATCTGCGGACCCAATTTCACAGAACAATTTTCGTACATGTTACGAATTTCATTCGCTCTATCCAGATCGTCGAAATTCGCGCATTCGTTTTCGCGAAACTGTGGAAAACTCGATTATAAACCGTGTGGCTAAAGTGGCCGGGGATAGTCCAGTCCTGCCAGCACTCATACATCAGAAACATTGTACATACATACAAAGGGTGAAACTTTATAATTAGTAAATGCCTCTGGAGCCACGCGATCGATGGAGAATGAATGGAAGATCCACGGGCCACGCTGAGTAAAGGAATCACGGTACGGTAACAATGAGTCGCAATTAACCCGGATGTTCCGGTTTCCGGGTGTACCATCTGTCCCTCCCATTCCCGTTTTCGTTTCTTTTCTGTTTGTCGAAGAAACTCTTCGGAAGAACACGCGTGTCGATTCCAGTCGGAAGGCTTCTTCTAAGGTTCAATTTAATTCTTCTGGATAAGAACCTTTTTTTACAAATATTTTTCAACGTACAATGGAAATTTTTCTTAGTTGTCTAACATAGTAAAGTACGTGACAATCTCATTAGGAAAATAGACAGCATATCATTAGATAAGTGCATGGTTTCGTTTGTTAAAATTGCTCAGTGAATTTGAAAAAAAAATCTCAAAGAAACCTCGAAAAGTATAACGTGGTGCAAAGTAACGGCGTTTTTTTTTTTAATAATTCGAGGCTATCGAACGCACCGAATAAAAACTCTCGAAGTTCGAAAGTTTAAAAGTGAAAAGTTTCGATTTAAATTGAGGATACAGTCCGGATTTTAATATCGAGATCACCGTAGTAAATTGTTTCGACGAGCGGAGGTAATTATTATAGCGATTAATCCCCTCATTAATAATGGACTGCATCGATCAGCGATCAAAGCTCAGGGGACGAGCTTTTTCCAATGGCGGCGTCGAACGCGTCGATTAATTGGAAATAATTATATCATCGATCGAATCATGCAACCCCCCCCCCCCCGTGACTTGAAAAAGGGGGATACAGAAAACTTTTCCTTTTCGATCGTGCGTGAATAGGATCGATTATGTCGATTCGGAATCGAGACAGCAGCGGAGGCCTCGTCGATGTCACGTCGTGTTGTAACCGATAAACTTCGTTACCGCGAGCGATCGTGTACGCGTCGAGAGCGATAATTAATTGAAAGGTCGGTGATCAAAGCTGGGACAGGTTCTACGGGTCGGACGGGATGGATTCTATGGTCTCGCGAGGAAAATTGACCGAGATCGGACGAAGAATCATCGATGAGCGCTTTAATAATCGCCGTCGAATATGTTACGTTACCTTCTAGGCACATATCAAATTTAGAATCAATTGTTTCGAAAGAATTCTTTTTCCATTCGATTCGAGACAATTTGATTCTGTTCGTAAAAAGTACTGTACGTAAAAAAACCCTCTATCATAATAATAAAGTAATAAGAATTTATTGTGACGGGCGTACATTCGCCCAGTATGCATTCAAATAACAACAAGAACATATTATAATACAATTAAACTTAATCACAGTTAGGATTAAAACTAAAACGAAGAAAGACAGAAGGAAAGAAGAAAAAAAACAGGAAATGGAAAAGCATGATATTATAATTGAATGTTGCATAAGCGTTTTTAACACGCGACTGCCACAGTGAAAAAGGCCGTCCGTAGTCAGACACACTTTATTCCATTTTTCAAGTTATAAATCGTCGAAAATATATCCATTCAGTTAATACAGGCTGTTTGCCTTATTTGAAATTATAATACCTACGATATGAATTTTGCGGAAAAATTTTGTAACAATATTTGAATAATCCAGCCAGTCTTTGCAATGTTTCAACTACGAGTTATCTCGCAGTTGGCAGTCCAACGTGTCAAAAACTAAAATGTATATGCTCCACGAGGAATGTATTTTGAATTTACATCGGAAGTCGAGGACCGAAACTATTTTAATTACCAGGCTCTTTCAAAGAAAAAACAGAGCAGCTGTTGTTTCGGGGAAACATTTATACGACCTCGACTGCGTGCTGCGATACCGGGCAATTAATTAAAAGCGCAACAACGAATCCCCCTAGGAGCTTCTCGTAATTTCTAATTACAGCCAATCGATCATATCGAAACCGCGCTCCTTTCGTTGACGCACATGCAATTATTATTACGAGTTCTCTGCCGATGAAATTTGCCGTTCACGGTCAACAATCAACGAGTCAATTTTTACCTACAAATGTCCCGGTTCGTAAATTTCCGATGAGTGATATTCCGTTAGTTAATCTTATTAAAATAGTTCCAGCTCGTGCTACGTCCACCGAAAGTGTTAACATGTTGCCCAGTTCCTCGTCGCAATTGAAATTTCGTTATCGCGTCGCACGCATCGACCGATAATCAAACGATAATTAATCCCCGAGAGAATCGACCAAACAGAGGGGTGGGTGAAACAGGCGACGATACAATTTTTCTACAGAACTCCGTGGAGATTCAAGAAACGCGGTCGAGCAAAAAGTTCCCATGATCAGCATTTTTAATCCCTCCATTTGAAACGGTAAACCGATTTTCCACGTTGGACTTTAATAAACGCTCCATCGTTTCGAGGATTATTTATTCCACCAGTGGCCTCGGAATCGTGGACGTACCCAGAGCGATATCGAATTTCCCAATACGTAAGAGAGAGAAATCTGTTTAAATGAAATACAAATTGCTGTCGACGAACGAGACCGGAAGAAATTTCACGAGAATTCTCGAGATCGAAATTGTGATTTCGATTGATTTTGAAGATTTGTAAATTCATCGTTAATTTATATTTAGTTTTTGATATTTGTTGATTTCACCTTCCGTAAATTTTTGTATAGTCATGAAAATTTCCATTATTTGCAGCAGCATATTACTGTGTTTATGTACATTCTTGTTTTCTTTCTTTTTCTTTTTAGTTTTAATCTCAATTGTGATTAAGTTTAATTTTATTATATGTATATTCTTTCTATTATTTGAATGTATACTGGGTGAACTAACGCCTGTTAGAATAAATTATCATTATTATTAAAAAAATTCAGGCTGTAGAGGCTTAAGCAGAATAGATCATTAGCGAGGAACGACGAGCACGACTTGCAGTTTGTGTTTTTCACGGCCTTAACTAGAACGATTGCGATCCGCAACGAAATCATTCTTTCGTCGTCTTCGAGATCGATATCATACCTATGTGTGTGTGTGTGTGTGTGTGTGTGTGTGTGTGTGTGTGTCACTGGAACGAGTCCAGCAGAGACGGGGCCGAAGTTATCTGGCACCGGGTGTAGACTGAAAAGAGGATATGACCGAGATAATGCGGACACGGGTCCGGGACTGAAACGATTCGTGGTCCCTTGGCGATTTAACAATTGACTTGTGCCTGGAATGTCCGTCTGTGGAGTAATTGGAAGCTGACCTGTGTGTGCTCGCTGTATCACTCTCGATTATGTACACAAGATCCGGATTAATAACACTTAAAATCGACCACCACATAATGTTTTATTAAAAAAAGATAAGGAAAAAAAATAGAATAAAATTTTATGATACGTCTGTGCATTCGTCATCATTAGGACTGCGGGTTTTATGCTTTTCTAGCCTCTAGGGGTCTGTAAAATACAATCCAATGAGTTTCCAGGTTTATCCTGAGCACAATATGATGCTTAAGAAAAGAATGTAATTCCTACATTTGCACTTCTCTGTATGAATTACTTTAAAAACTATCATTTTGCATAAAAATCCGAAATCTAGTCATCATGGTACTAAGTAGAGATGTACGATTGCGATTCGATTCTTCAGAAGATTGATTCCCTTGTTCCAAAAGTATGGAACCAGAGTTCATGATTGATGGAACAGTAACAATACATCCCTAGTAGTAAGTACAAACAGAATGCATTGACCAAACGCACGTTAACCAAGTGCTATTCAATTCCAGCAGATTTTCTCGGAAAACTAAGCCATGAAAAACAAAATTTTATTCCACATTTTTCCCTGATTTTTTCATAAAAAATCGCGTAGTACCTCCATTTTACATATTATTCGATCTCCACTGGATCTATAAACCAAGGGCACGAAGTAAACCTTATTTCATAGAAAGAAGACTTTCATGAATCCCAGTGGCGATATTTCATTGGAATTCCCAATAACGGCTACCGCAAGAGAAGAGGCTCAGCCTTTCTTCTTTGAGGATGCAGTTCCGATCCAAGGTATCGGGGAACTCGTTTCAAAGTTTCCGCGGTTTTTCTGTCGCGAGGGTCATGCGAACGGTCTTGGCGAAGTTCCAGCACAAAGGCGCGCACCTTTGATCCTTCGAGGGGATCGGATGGTGGAACGAAGTTATAGACGATGTAATGGACGATAATCGAATTTCGACCCCGGTTTCTGACTAGAAATCCACGGGGGAAAGTTTAAAGGGTTTCGGAGAATTGGACCGGCTGATGAAGTTGGCCGATTCCCTCGATCTGGGTTAGATCAAAGGTGTTCCTCCACGATGAATCACGTGATCTCCCCACCTATTCGAATTCCCTGGCCCGATAGTATCATCACGGTGAAATTATCGCGACGTGATTAACTTCGACTGCTACCATCTGGTGTGCAACGTTGGATTAACATATATGCACGCGTGTACCCGCCCTCAAACGTGATGAAACGACCGTTATTGATTATCGTCAGTCCAATCAAACGCGTGTATTACTTCGGGGGGCTTGTCAATTGAATAATATTAATTAAACCGAAGCTTGGAGGAATCGGGCGTGTCCGACCCGGTGTGTCCATTAAAACGAACGAATTTTCCTCGCCTTCGATCGATTACCAAGAGAAGAATAGAGGAATTTTCCCCTCCGATCACGTGAAAATTTCTATGGAAAATTGAAGAGACCTTCGACCACACTTTTTTTACAGAGTGATTCACCTGTCACTGCCACCTGAATTACTCGTACAAAATGTTTGAAGCAAAACAATGGTATGGTATCAATGGGGGCACACAATGTAATCATCTTATTAAATATCTTGGTAAGTATTGATTATTCGACCAATATACCCTAATAGTTTTTTTATTCAGCGTTCAACAATCTTTCCGATTGCAGGGTCAAATTGTACACATTACGATACAGAAACTCAAAGTGTCTTTCATATCTCGATAAAAACACAAAATAACAAAAAACTAATTACTACATAGTATACCTCCCTTAATACCTTACAACTTTAGTTTAAAATATTTTTTCCTATAAGCAACGGTTTACAGATAATTCGGGTGGCAGCACTAGATGAATCCTGTATATCTAGAATGACTCTACGTTTATTTAATCTTGAAGTGTCTTTCCTTGATATTAAATGCTGAGGATTCACTGCTCAAAGTTACGATTACCGACCGTTTACTTTTCCGTATAAACGAGGGTTTTCGCGTGTTTCATCCGGTCCGAAGATTGGAAAGATGGGATTCGTGCGCGATCGAGAGCCACAAGGGAGAAATCTAATCTAGATTGCTTCTCGAGCCTTTATGATCAATGAAAGCGAGTGGAATTTTACCTCGAGCTTTTAACAAAATTTTCCTGCTCCAGATCAAACAGACCCCACGTGCAAACAATGGTGGATCGAGGTCGAGGAGAAGGGTTTTCCGGTGGAGACAGAGAAATACCGAAAGTTCCCGGTACACGGAATCATCGTTTCTTTCAATTCCAGGGCGTGTTTCTCGGAACCGTTTCGTAAACATTCATCAGAGCCGGGGACCTAGGATTATTTAGATACTCACTCAATAGTAGTTGTGTGTCAACCCTGACGAGGCAAATCCCAGGTGTTTGCGAACGATCGCGGTTTGGGGAGTGGGGAACCTGGATATATATTTTCCTGTGAATCAATATGGCCCGGCTAATTACATTCGATCGGACTCTGTCCGTAGAATAAACAAGCACAATTACTTCTAGCTGTGATGAATCTGTGGCTCTAAAAATTCCGCATGTGACAATTTCAAAAAAATTGGGTTTATACATTAATCGAACTGTAGAATACAGGATTTATGTGTTTATCAGAACAATATTGCTTGCAAACAGGTTTTATGTGCCTGAAAAAAATAATGCTATTTAACCGGAGTCCAATATTCAATTCATACGCATCAGTCAAAACAACGTAAGTACACAAAATTTTGTAAATACGACGAATATTCCGTATCGTTCTTTTGTGACAATTTTTTGTTTTTTTTTACTTCAATTAATCTGCTTATACTATAACGTATTTTTTATAAGAAGGCCGTGGAACTTACCAGCGCATAGTTTATTGTCCCCATTTTTGTTAGTGAGGGTCGGACATCGAGTAAACAATATATTTGTGAGATTTTTAAACGATTCACCGTGCACCATAAAAGTTTTAAAGCGGACTCGAGTTTCAAACTCTCATGAAGACCTTAGTGTAACTTGTATTTCACAAAGAACAGTGTCATATACAGTAGAATATTATGCAGAGTGAAGGAAATATACATTTGTATCGTAAAAAGAAAACAAGGAATTATTGCTAATAAGAAGCATTGGTATTCAGAACTTTAAACGACAATATCTCGAAAGTGAAAGCATTTTTCTAACAACCACAGAAATATCCATAAATTACAATACCAACTTCGATGAATCGTCTTCCCATGGCTTGAAACGGGCTCCGTTCAATTACTCGTTGCAATTACACCGCTTGTGTCTGTTTATATATGAAATAGACCGCGCGTAAGTTTCGTTTGTGTACCCTGAACACCGTCAGTGTACGTGTGAGTTGGCTTGATCGCGTACGATAACTCTCCGCTCGAATATCCCGTTCAGGGACTCGGTGAATTAACGAACTGTCTAACTTACATCGAACGAAAGATCATACTCTATTAAATCCACGGGTAGATGGAGAAGGATCAAATTGTTGCCACGGGGGACAGAGAGGATAGTTGTACGTGCAATTAATACCAGCTGCTACTAGTTAGATCTTGCCGCTTGCTCGACCAGTAATTGCGGACGCGTTTTCCATTTTTTTCTTTTGTTAACTGATGTCATGATTCGTTGCGACGGGTAGACTCATTTTACAGAATGATCGATGCACAGAGCAGCACACGAAAGTTGTAGAAGGTGTGCGTAAGTGGAAAGTAATTAGAATCATAGATAGAAAATATATTAATCATACACGAAGATATACGCTACCGCTCATAAGTATTAGGACACCTGAGCGATACGAAGACAATGGGATGTTTCGTAAAAATGATATATTTTAGCCCAATTCTGCTAACATCAAGGTATCATAAGCGTTGTCCATCAAGCATCAATATCCCCCAAACAATATTTATTTCAGACTTTCAGCAATTTCGTAGTGCCTTGTATCATTTACTGCATGCTCGATAAGTGTCGTAACACTTATAAGTGGTAGCATACTTAATAAGTATGAAATGTAAAGATCAACTTCGAAGCAAGAAAAGAGAGACAGATCGACAAACGCAAGGATAGATGAATCCCTCTTACCTTCCATAGTCATGTTATCTCCCAGCTTCATTTCGATGTACTTGTTTTTTACGATGGTCCCTCGTTGTTTTCAGCGTAAAGTTCAATCGAGAATCGATTCCCAGGGTATTCTGTCACGATCGAGCCTCTATCATCCCGTGCGTGTTACAGTTCGATGCCCTCTGGATCGCTTGTCGATCTTCTTATCGAGTTCTACGCGGTCTCCTTTTCCTCTCGACTACGGTTCGTTAAAAGGCAGGCTCGCGGACGTCCGCTCCAGGCCATAATCAGCGTCGTTTCCCGCGAATCGAATCATCAAACGCACCGTACCACGACACGTGGATCAGGTGATAAATCGTGGTACCCCTTGTTCGACTCGAAACACGGCACCTTTGAGTCCCCAGTAGTCATCCTGTCAAAGAAATTGTCTCCTTCCTCTCGCAGCTTCCAGGATCCCTCAGGGCTCAATTTTTCTCTCCTTGTTATTCAAGGGATATGACGAACATTCCGTCGCGTTCTCACTCATTGGAGGATCTGTGAAACAAGAGCAGACGTTTGTATTTTTATAGCTGACGCGCCGTTAGATTTATGGAATACCGTAAAGTCGCGCTAACTACGCGACACAATGTAATCTCAGCAGTGATAGTGAATGAGAAAGAAATAGAAGTTAACCTCTTATTAATTAATTAGACTAGAATTATTAAGACTAGAAAAAATATTTTTTTTATTCTTCAGCTGTATGTAAATTAAAATATATTTATAAATATTAACGACAATTGGTAGAATATTCTTTTTTATTGAAGAATTTCCTAATGAACATGTAATAACAGTTTCAGAATAATGCTTGAATAAAAGAAAAACTGTACGTACATATACGTGCGAGAATCCCGCTAGAGGCTAAGAGTCGAGGCAGCCGAAATTTGCATTAGCGTAATAAATTACTCGCTTAATTGGTTTGAAGAGTGATCTTCCACCAGTGGTGGATATGACGCGTAGACAGTCAACGTGGAGGTCGTTACGTGCAGTTAACGCGACTTTACATAATGTACATGCATAGAAATCACATTTATTTCACACCGTTTCTGTTATCACGGATCAGCGTGAATACAATCGATTGATCGGATTAATCCACGGTTCATTGAGGAGGCCTCGCTCCTAAATGTCGATACCGAACTATCTATCCAACGTCGATTAATAAATCGTGAATAGAGCCGAGGATAAGCCGCTATAATTGAATACGTCCCCGTCCACTTTTGTGTCGGATGCCACGGAAACCGTAAAGCCGATCGTTATCTATACAAAAAGAATTCCAGGCATTTAATTCGACCTGCGCGTAGTGTGAAAGCCCTTTACGGATTATTCTTTCGATTTGCGCTCGAATGAACGATATTCACTCTTTAATTAAACTGAAACATACGACGATACCACACGGTGTTCAAAAAATTAAAATTATTATTTCTCGTGTATGTTTCCGTGCTTTCTTGCAACATCACGATTCTGTTCCGTTTTATTCATTCTTGAAACATTTTCCGTTGTATCCGACCAAGGGTGGAAAAAAAGACACGACGCCGACGGGCGTGTAAAAATATTTCAAAGAATATATTCCACGTGGTGAACAGCTCGCCGTTTATCGCGATGTTTCCAGTGTTCCGTGAATATTCCCGTGAAACGGATGTAGAATATCGCGTGAAAATCGAAGAAGCTTTTTCGGAGTTCGCTTCGGAAAAAGTCGATCCCGGATATACACGGTGGAGGGATATATCTGTTTCGTTACCGCGGCCACTGGTAAACATTCGGCTGTTATTAAAAGAAAATACCGTTGCAACGTTATTCGAAACTCTGTGAAAACTTTTCAGGCGGTAATAGCTTTTCCAGGGAGGGGCTCCGTTTTTGTAAAGTTTCATCATGGAAATTTGAACATATCAGTGCCGAAAGCTTAATTAAACGATCCCGTCAGTTAATACAAGTTCATTTCTGTTTCTTGACTGCAGAATTATTTCTCTCCGTTTTTAATTCACGGATTCCATTCGTGAAAAATGCGAATGACAATTCATATCTCTATTGCTTGGCGAATAAAACGTTCCACCGTCTCTTTTGCACTTTTAATGAAGAGTGTGTGTATGTGTGTATGTCCCATCCCAGGTGATAAATATTCTACGTTCCGAACGAGTATCACTCGTAGCTACATATTACGACGAGAGCGGCGTTACACGACTTTATATATCCCGACCGTCGAAAACGGCATCGGAAAAGCGAAGCACGTACTCGTATCGCATAAAATTTGTAGATACTTCGAAACCCGCTCGATTCCGGGGAATGCTTTGAGTCATTTTCTACGTGTTTCTGTTTCTGTTTTTCTTTTTTTTTTTTCGTAAAACCGGAATGGGAAATAGCTTTCTCGAAATCTCTCAGCTCGACTTAAAAAATTCAGAGAATTGCGAAAACAAAAGGCCAACGTAGATGGAACAGGAACAAAAAAGAGTACAGCAGCATAACTAATACAAAAATTAGATGATACAGAATTATGAGAAACACTAAAAATAATGAACAATGTCTTGTATAGATTTATTTCAACTGCTGGATAACGACAACGCATTCATTAAGAACAAAAAGAACGTGTCGTGCACAGTTAAATGGAATTAAGGGCGTGTTTGTCGAAGCGTTTATTCCGAATTAAGGTGAAACGAAATCGGGTCGCGTTAATTCAAACTATATTTATTTTTAATCGACCCCGATTTTTCCCAGTCCTTGTCAATACAATTTCTTTAACGCACCTGTGCAATTCAGGTCAATTTCACCCCCAAAGTAAATGTTCGAATCTTAACACTGGAACTACCAGTACTGAATGTATAGTAAATAAAATTGTATAATATGGTAAAATGTAAAATGTAGCGCATAATTTAACGTAAGAAAGTACAATGTAAAATGTCTAGTGAGTTAAAAGTCAACATAAATTTTTCCAAAGGCCATTTATATATAATCTCATGTATAATCTCAGTAATCATAAAATAAGAAATTTGCAATCCGTCATTTTGACGAGTTTGGTAGTTATTTGTTAATTATATTTTTTCTTTAAAACTAAACTTTAGAAGTTTCGTTGAACCTTTTTTTAAACTTCTTCGGAACTGTAAAATGTTAGAGTAAATCTCAGAGGGCAATCTAAAATATTCTTCCAAGCCAATCCAACTAAACCTATGTCGGTATTTAGGAATTTGCCTCGTGTCGTGTAGTCTGTCAAACCAGTTCAGCGTGGATATCAAGTTAAGCGGATAAATAAAAAGAAATTTCCATACGCAATTTCGATCTATATCCACCGACCTCCCACTCACCGTGGCGTACGTTTTACGAGACCTCCGGATGATAAGGATATCTCTCAGGATTAAACAGGTGAAGCTAGAGAGGTACAAGAGACAGGCCCCCTGAAGATACTAGTTCAGCAACAGCGTGCCCCCCTGTTCTTCGCTTCTCTACCGATGCTTACAAGCCACGTACAACGTCGAGCTTTTTCGTATTCCATGAACGCCGCCTCGACTTCACCGTAAATTCGCCGAGCTTAAAGGTAAACCGCGAAAAGCTCCGTAAGTACGTCGGGCGTACCACCCTTCTGTGTATACTTGACGCGACCTGGTCGTCTTTTGAGTTATGGATACTCGGCTGGAATTCAGTACCAGGACTCGTGAATCGCACAGAACTTCATCAATCTGAAGTGACTTAAAATTATTCGTACAAATAACAAAGATTCGAAAGAACTGGAGAACATTTTAAATATTACTTGGTATCTGGACTTAAAGAGGCCAGAGAGATTATAGAAATATAAAATTTCACACCCTTGATCTTTAGATCCCGCGCGATTTTCAAATATCGGAGGATTAGAGGGGACCAAATAGTGTGAAGAGGTGATCGACCAAAAATTCTTTCAGTTCTCATCGAACTCTCCCCACTGTCTACCCTCTGTCCTCTATCCCACTCATGGTTACTCTATGGTCATGGTTGGTCAGTGGTTAGGGAGTAAGTAGGGGTCATTACCTTGAATAGCCCATCCTGGACCACTAGAGTCACTCTTCCGTCCTCCAACATTAAATTTCAAATAGACTAAAATTTAAATCTATCCCTCGATTTAGTTCAATTTACTCCATTCTAGTAACAAATTCAACCTAACCGATTACTGATATTTCAAAGTTCTCAGGTGGTTAAATCATCGAGAATGTTTCACGAACTCCCGCAAGAAATACGATAGTTTTGTCAGGAAAGAAAGCCACCAGGCCAATCGAGAGTTCGGGAAACAAAAGCTGTCCCTCGATGGTAACACTTCTCAACCCTCTCTAACCATTTTTTTTATATCCCACCATTTCGTTCGTCCCGTATCTTTTATCGCCGGACGAGTTCTTGGTCTTTTGTTTCCATGCTCCGTTTTCCAAACATCTCTTTTCAGCCCCTTCACATCCCCCCTCCCCACATTCGTCGACCTAGCTCCTCGTCCAGCTGGCTATCTCTTTCTGTCAACCCTTTCGTTATGCGACCACGACCTTGTCCCCGCAGCGCCAACCCTATCGTGTCTTTCACCGCGTACAATATTACTGTCAAACTCAAGAAATAGCAACCGAGACGAAGGTCAGGGTCACACGGCTAAACCGTCCGTTGCGAATCTTTTTCAACCACTGAGTGTTTAACTGTCTCCAGGGGAGAGTGGTGGGGATGACGTCTGGACATTCAGTGCCGTGAAGCCTTCATTCATCTATGATTTACTGTACTATCAACACTTCCGAGAATATCGGCAGCCAACGATCTCCATATGTATTCGTGACCATCCACAATTCCAGTACGTATCCGATCAACATCTTCGGGAATACCTCGCTAAACGTTATCGCGCGGCGGAACTGTCTCGTAAAGAAGTGAAAAATACGAGGTGGAAATTGTGCACACGTTCTTGCCTCTGTTTTGACATGGAAGTTTACAAGAACGAGTGGCGGAACTGTGTGCTGAGAAGGAATTGTTTGTTTGCGTTTCGTTCGTCGACAGAGACGCATAAGAAGAGCACCGCGCGCGCCACTC